ATACACAACAACTTCAGAAAGTGACCAAAGCTGATACTCAATAACTTCAGGAACTGACAAAAGCTGATACTCAACAACTTCAGGAACTGAAAAACCTGATACTTAATAACTTCAGGAACTGACAAAAGCTGATACTTAAAAACTTCAGGAAGAGACCAAAGATAAAACTCAATACCCTCAGAAGCTGACTGAAATTGAAAAAATCGAACGCCTCTTGAACTGACCAAACCCTAGATACACTCTCAACTGCATCACCTTTCTTTTCAAAGTATTTGTTCAAATCAACTACCGTGTATTCTTTTATTAACAAAACTCTTTCTTTTTTGTATGGTCACTTCTTAAATGTTCTAATAGATCTTAAATAAGTCATTGAGGTATGCTCAATATTTAACATTACATATCTTTAGACGAAATATTATACTATACGTGTTTTATTAAATAATGCATCGTATAATCAATCATATTTTAACGTTTGAACCATATAATAATCGAAAATAAGCTTCTCTTGCAGTTGTATTAGTTTGTAAAAATTGCATTAGCGTTAGCAAGTTATCTTTACTTGACCAGGTTACTTTTATTTAAATCCAATTGCAAACAAGAGAATAACTGAGTAATCTAAAATTGTAAACACAACAGAAGATAAAAGGAAACGTTGCCATAGCAACACTATTCAAACGCATGTCTCCACCATGACGTCGTCGATCCAAAGGTGTCATATGTGTTTGTTTTTTTGGTTGGGTGGGTGGGCGTGCTTTTAAAAAGAAAAAAAAAACTTTATTGTTTTGTTTCTTTGGTTTATTTTGTACTGTAAACATTGTTTTACAAATTAATTAAGTTTTTACCCAGTCTTTCACATCATGAATCACTTAATGATGTTTATTATTAACTATCCAATCGTTTTTCGGTTATTCTTGTATTTTTTTGCCACTTGCGTGGTTTAGTCAAGCTTTTTGAATCCACTTCCGGCAAAAATGTGGTGCAATTTGCAGATAAAGTTGCTCCACAATGAAACGAAAAATGTACACACTTTGGTGGACCGTCTCCTCCACACTTCCGCCTCCTCCACACCACCTCCTCCACACCACCTCCTCCACTTTTCTTCCACCACACTTCCACCTCCTCAACACAACCTCCTCAACACATACTCCACCACACTTACACCTCATACACCACCTCCTCCACAAATCCTCCACAACACTTCTAACTTCTCCACACCACCTCCTTCACATAATCCACCACACATCCACCTCCTCAACAAAACCTCCTCCCCACCAACTCCTCAACACACCCTCCACCACAGTTTCACCTTTTCCACACCAACTCCTTCACTCCTCCACAACACTTCCTCTCCTCCTCTCCACCTCCATCACTTCCTCCACCTCACTTTAATCTCCTCTCCACCACCTCCTTCACTCCTCCACCACACTTCCACATCCTCAACACCAACTCCTTCACACATCATCCACCACACTTCTACCTCCACCACTCCACCTCCTTCACATCCTACACCACACTTCCACCTCCTACATACCACTTCCTTCACATCCTACACCACACTTCCACCTCCTCCTCACTACCTGCTTCACATCTTACACAAAACTTCAACCTCCTCCACACCATCTCCTTCACATCCTACACCACACTTTCACCTTCTATACACCCCCTCCTTCACATTCTAAACCACACTTTAACATCCTTCACACATCCTCCTTCACATCCTCCACCACACTTCAGCCTCCTCCACACCAACTCCTCCACACATCCTCCACCACACTTCACCTCCTCCACACCAACTCCTTAACATCCTACACCAAACATCCACCTTCTCCACACCACCTCTTTCAAATTCTACACCACACTTCCTCCTCCTCCACACCACCTCCTTCACATCCTAAACCACACTTCAACCTCCTCCACACCACCTTTTTCACATCCTACACCAAGCTTTCACCTTCTCCACACCACCTCCTCCTGACATTCTCCACCACACTTCCAAATCCTCTAAACCACCTTCAGCACATCACCTACTCCACACATCTTCCACAACACTTCCAGATTTTCTACACCACCTCCTTCACATACTCCACGACACTTCCACCTCCTCAAAACATACTCCACCACACTTACTTCTCCTCAAAACCACCTCCTACCCTCCACCTCCTAAACATATCCTCCACAACATTTCCACCTCCTCCACATCTCCTTCTTCACATTATACAGAAAACTTCAACCTCCTCCAAACAAACTCCTTCACATCCTCCACCACACTTCCAACTCCTCCAACCCACCTCCTTTACATCCTCCACCACACTTCCAACTCCTCCACCCAACCTCCTTCACATCCTACACCACACTTCCACGTTCTCCACACCACCTCCTTCACATCCTAAACCACACTTCAACCTCCTCCACAAACCTCCTTCATATCCTACACCACACTTCTACCTCCTACACAGCCCCTCCTCCACACATTCTCCACCACACTTCCAACTCCTCAACACCACCCCCTCCCCACCACCTCATCCACAGCACCTCCTCCACACCACCACCTTCACATCCTCCACAACACTTCCACCTTCTCGACACAACCTCCTTCACATCCTCCACAACACTTCCACCTTCTCGACACAACCTCCTTCACATACTCCACTACACTTCCACCTCCTCAAAACATACTCCACCACACTTCCACCTCCTAAACACAACCACCTCACCACCACCTCTTCAACACTTCCACCTTCTCCACACAACCTCCTCCACACATCCTCCACCACACTTCCACCTTCTCGACACCAACTCCTCCACACCACCTCCTTCACATCCTCCACAACACTTCCACCTTCTCGACACAACCTCATTCACATACTCCACAACACTTCCACCTCCTAAACACAACCACCTCACCAACTCCTCTTCAAAACTTCCACCTTCTCCACACAAACTCCTCCACACATCCTCCACCAAACTTCCTACTCCTCCAAACCACCTCCTTCACATCCTAAACCACACTTCCACCTACACCACACTACCTCCTTCACATCCTAAACAATATTTCAACCTCATCCACACCATTTCCTTCACATCCTCTACCACACTTCAACCTCCTACACACCACCTCCTTCACATCTTACACAACACTTCCACCTCCTCCACACCAACTCCTTCACATCCTACATCACACTTCAACCTCCTCTACACTACCTCCTTCACATCCTTCACCACACTTCCACCTTTTCCACACCATCTCCTCCACACATCATCCACCACAATTCCACCTCCTCCACAACACCTCCTTAACATCCTACACCATCTCAACGCATACTCCACCACAATTCCACATCCTTGACACCACCTCCTCAACACATACTCCACAAACCTTCCACCTCCTCAAAACCATCTCCTCCCCTCCACTTACTCAACATATCCTCCACAACATTTCCACCTTCTCCACACCACCTCCTTCACATCCTCCACCACACTTCCGCCTCCTCCACACCAACTCCTCCACACATCCTCCACCACTCCTCCACACCGCCTTCTACAGATTACCCATTGTAATTGCAATAGCTTTTTTTATATTAAATCTCAAACATGAAGTATGGATGTGAATTTAAGCGTATCAAACATGGACAGAGGCTGGGCTTATTAAATTATTATCATTTAACAACATGGGTGATAGGAGATGTCCCAAAAGTCGTTGAAAAACAAACGGTCCCCACAATTGAGTCAAAAATATCAAATATATATTATTATTTTTTTTTTTGGGGGGGGGGGGAATATATTTTAACTATTTATGGAAGTTCTTTAAATTGATTTTTTTTTTAAATTTTAAAAATTGAGTCAAAAATATCAAATATATATTATTATTTTTTTTTTTTGGGGGGGGGGAATATATTTTAACTATTTATGGAAGTTCTTTAAATTGATTTTTTTTTTAAATTCTAAATGTCACGATGTTCATGTCATATATATAAGTATGACATAAGTAATTGAAGGTCTGCATCGCCTTGCGGGATGATATGTAAGCGCCGCGTGGCCTACAGTAATCCAGAGAGTAATGCTGTCAATGTTGTCATTTATTTCTCATTTATTCTTTAAATAGACTTTATTTTTATCGATCCATTTAGGGCGATGACGTGTCAGAAGAGGATAGAGAAGAGTGCTTGACAATCTAGTGTGAAACAGAGTCAATGAGAAATTTGTATAAGAATAAGAGTCTAAAGCATCATGATTTTAGACTCCCTCAAGCGATAAAATTTAAATCGAACACCGCAAATTCAATCACGACAATCCCATTAGCACCTTCCATTACTGACTGTAAACATACAGACAGGCGCGTTCATTCTACGGTCTACATAGAGATATTTAACTCAGTGTTTCGGGGCGAAGTAGCATTCCGATAGACGATGCAAATGCTCGCATTTTAGTGCAGTTGTCATCTCAAATTTTTCATTCACAGATCCACTCACATTAGTACTGAATATCAGCGTAGCATGAACCCAATATTTAAAAAAAAAATATACAAATAAGGAAATGAGAAATACATTACATTTTTAACAGTTTTAAATATTTAGTGGATTTAGGTAAGGGTTTCATTTGAATCTCTACAATTAATGGTGTTATCGATAACAGCTCAAGTTTGCATGCATGCGTTGTGAGTTGCGAACAAGCTAAAGACCGGATTATTTGAATCGCATCATGATTCTTCTAAACGGCATTATGTTTTAATTATTTTTTCCGATCTGGCTTCGCTTTCAAGCAGTCACATGACGATGATATTAAGTTCTGACGTCACCCAGAACATGACGCAGTGCCCGCCAAACCTCCCACCAGATGCGCACTCCATTTCACCGCATCCGGAAGTCGTCATCTTCTTCACGGCGATGGCGTCCTTGGCCTGCGCCTTCACCATATCCGCCAACGTCATCGTCGTCCTGTCCATGTCGAGGTCTCACTACGTCACAGGCGGGCGACGGAACCGGGGTCACGACGACACCAGAATCGGCAACGTGCTCATGACGTCAATGGCGGGCAGTGACGTCATCATCGGCACGTTCGTCATGCCCCTTTCTATTTCGGAGATGGCCGGAAACGGGGAGTGGCAGCTGGGGCCAGTCACGTGTGCGCTGAGGGTGGTTATGGATATCGTGTGCTGCACGCTGTCCATCTATCACGTGGTGGCCATGGCGGTGGACAGATACCTCGCCGTGTGTCGGCCTTGGGTGTACCGGTCCTTGACCCCTCGAACCGCCTACGTCATTATCCTCGTCTGCTGGATGATCCCGCTTCTTCTCGTTAGCGTCCCCATTTTAGCCGGCGTCCATCATGCGGCCAGCGATCACGTGATGCGGTGCGCTCTCATGAAGGGCGTTTGCGTTCACAGCTTCTCGAGCACCTTCTTACTTCTGAGTTTCTCCGTCTCCTTCTACATCCCGATCACCGCGACCCTGGCGCTCTACTTTGTGATCGCGCGGAAGATTTTCAGACGCGGCGCAGCGGTGGTTAGGAGCTGCAGCAACAGGATTCAACCAGGAACTCCCAGCGAAGCAACGTCATGCGCTACCCCGGTCCTTACCGTTGATACCGTCACCTGGGATGGAGTCCAAGAGCAGTCTGCGGCTTTGACGTGTGCTTCTGCTCGGTACTTATCGCTACATTGTAATGGTCTAGCTCCACGTGCTGCTGTAAATCAATCCAAAACTGACGGTCTTTGCGAGGCAGACAAAAGGTGGCTTGGTGAATCAGAAGGTTTTCGCGACCCTAACAGCGGAATACCCGATGAAATAAACGGTAAAGCTGAGAGACCGGCGCTACCCGTTTGGAACACACATCGTGATGCGCTGAGGAGGGGCCTCCGTTCATTCCGGTCGAGACGACGTCAAGCGTTGCCCTCGGGGAACAAACCTTTCTCGGCTTTGAAAAAGCTTAAATCCGCCCGAACCATAGGGCTGGTGGTGATCTGTTTCGTGGTCAGCTGGCTTCCGTTCAGCGTCATAACACCCCTGGGTTACTTTCGGTCAGCCTCGTTTTCATCCTGGTCCATGAGGCTGGTGTCCTGGATGGGGTACATGAACTCGGCTTGGAACCCGCTACTGTTTTGCTGTAACCGAAGAGTGCGTCAGGCGATTTTGTCTTTCAGACGGAAGAAAGTGGTTATTGTGTGTCCTGAACAAAAGTAAGAACATCGCTATTGTCTTGACATTGTTGTGTGTTCTGAACAAAAGTAAGAAAATTGCTATTGGTGTGATGTCCTAAACAAAAGTAAGAGCATCGCTATATTCTTGACATTGTTGTGTCTTCTGAACAAAAGTAAGAACTTTGCTATTGTTGTGTGTCCTAGACAAAAGTAAGAGCATCGCTATATTCTTGACATTGTTGTGTCTTCTGAACAAAAGTAAGAACTTTTCTATTGTTGTGTGTCCTAGACAAAAGTAAGAGCATCGCTATTTTCTTGACATTGTTGTATGTTCTGAACAAAAGTAAGTGCATTGGTAATTTCGCGACATTAGTTTGTGCCCTGGACAAAAGTAAGAACACTGCAAGTGTCTCGACAGTACTGAGTTTGATCTTAACACGCAGCGAGACCTGCCATCGTTTCAATATTAGAACAACATTCAAGCAAAATCCTGGCATCATCGGAACCAATTTTTTGAATAACTCGTCATTGCAGCATCATAACAAAGTCTCGTAACAATTGTTTGAAGAAAAGATTTCCACAAAATCATAACAACATCGCAACCATTTTTTGAATAGCACATGACTAAAACATCATTACATCATCCCAACCAACGTATACATAATACAAGACAACACAACAACATCATACCATCATCCCGACCTACGTATACACGACACATCAGAACAACAATATAGCACAACCTGAACACCCTTGGAATACCACAAACGAAGCTATCAACATCCATGCATTTTGAGAACCATCAATAACCTCACGATAACACGTTACGTGAAAAATAAATAATAAACTGGAGATCAACAGATAAGAACATTTGCCTATATAGAATCTACTCACAATCATTTGAGAGAATGAAAAGACAACGGCGTAGATTTATACAGGATCTTAACATATATAAATGACATCTAGACATAACATTCATACAAAAAGGAAAGCCTGAAGTCGGTACACTTAAATAATATTGTTACAATTTATTCTTTGACGTTTCATTAAATTCTCTTAACACACTTTGGAGACAAAAAAAATTTTTTTTTCGTTCATTTAAAGTTTTTCTTTCAGTGATATTTTTTTGTTATATGTAATATTGTTATGATATCCTATTTTTGACTCTCAAACGACGTATTTATCTATTACCAATATTACCATGCGTCTTTGAATAAACACTAGTAACATAGCTCGGTCTGAAAATGTCAAATTGGAAGAAATGCTTCTGATTTTATTCTTTATGTGCGCTTCATCTAATCATCTACTTATGGTGTGCCCATTCAGATCAGTTTCCACTAATCATCTACTTATGGTGTGCCCATTCAGATCAGTTTCCACTAATCATCTACTTATGGTGTGCCCATTAAGATCAGTTTCCACTAATCATCTACTTATGGTGTGCCCATTCAGATCAGTTTCCACTAATCATCTACTTATGGTGTGCCCATTCAGATCAGTTTCCACTAGTTATCTACTTATGGTGTGCCCATTCAGATCACTTTCCACTAATTATCTACTTATGGTGTGCCCATTCAGATCAGTTTCCACTAATTATCTACTTATGGTGTGCCCATTCAGATCAGTTTCCACTAATTATCTACTTATGGTGTGCCCATTCAGATCAGTTTCCACTAATCATCTACTTATGGTGTGCCCATTCAGATCAGTTTCCACTAATCATCTACTTATGGTGTGCCCATTCAGATCAGTTTCCACTAATTATCTACTTATGGTGTGCCCATTCAGATCAGTTTCCACTAATCATCTACTTAAGGTGTGCCCATTCAGATCAGTTTCCACTAATTATCTACTTATTGTGTGCCCATTCAGATCAGTTTCCACTAATTATCTACTTATGGTGTGCCCATTCAGATCAGTTTACACTACTTATCTACTTATGGTGTGCCCATTCAGATCACTTTCCACTATTTATCTACTTATGGTGTGCCCATTCAGATCAGTTTCAACTAATTATCTACTTATGGTGTGCCCATTCAGATCAGTTTCCACTAATTATCTACTTATGGTGTGCCCATTCAGATCAGTTTCCACTAATCATCTACTTAAGGTGTGCCCATTCAGATCAGTTTCCACTAACTATCTACTTATGGTGTGCCCATTCAGATCAGTTTACACTAATTATCTACTTATGGTGTGCTAATTTAGTTGGGAATTTCATACTTATTCATTATTTCAGATGGTGATATTTCAGAGTTATACAACCAAAGAAACATGGGTTATTTTTTAGATGTTCCGATTCAGTTGTGCTAAATCCTAGGTACTAGACAAGATGCTCTATATGTACTACACAAGATTTTCAATATGTACGAGACAAGATGTTCTATATGTACTACATTAGATGTTCTATATTTACTACACAAGATGGTCTATACGTACTACACAAGATGCTCTATATGTGCTACACAGGATGTTCTAAAATGAATAATTGACGTATATTTATATATTTTATGTCATCCTAGTTCAATTAATTCACCGATGCGGACATCTGATTGGGCTTACGGCTTAAACAGAAGGGTTGTAGACGACTTGGCCACGTCACACTCGCGACTCTCCATCGAGGGTGTCAGCCGCATCTGGTTCAGGCTCTTTGGGCTGTGACTGTGTCTGCCACTCGCCCACTGAAAGATAGACCATAAAGAAAGGTTTGCTCTCACGCTGTGTGGTGAGGGAAAGAGTAGAAAAGGGGAACGGGGAAGCTCCAGTAGAAATAAACGACGACAAAACAAGAACGTGTTGGCTAAGAGCCTTCCTCAGCACATGGGACGGATGAAAAAAAAAAATAACACCAAAAATAAAACGAAACTAGTTTTAAAAAAACGTGTTCATTGTTATTATAAAGGAGCTGGTTTACGGAACTAATTTTGACTTACACAACACCTCAGCAGATCAAATATAAAAATTGTATACATCTAAAAAAAAAAAAAATTTTTTTTTGAAAGCTCATTTACTTTAGTTTTTAAAAAATACATTAAAAACTTTTTAAAAAAATTAATAAATAATGGTATAAATTAAACAGAAAAACAGTTACAGTGTAAGTAATGGGAAACTGTGGCTCTGTCCACATAACTCCATGAGAGCTCTATGGCGTCTAAACCCTTGGCTACAGTCAGAGTAACACTCTGATGTCTATGGTACCTTGGGTTATACAAAAGTACAGTCGAACCCACTTATCTCGAGCTCGGTTAACTCGCCAACCTTCTTAAATCGACGTTTTTTGAAGTGCAAAACAATTTCTCTATTTTTCCTTAGCATTTTCTCATCGGTTATGTGGGGTATGTCGATTTTTTTTTATGTCGCCGAACCCTAACATCTCGAGAACAAAATGGGGGCTAAATTTGCCGTCTTTATCTCGATCCCCATAAAAAGTCGCCGGTTTTTTAACTCCGCAATGAGAAGTAGCATAGTTAAAAATAATGATTTATTTCTCAAACTACAGGAGTGAAAGAATCCCTAAGGTTTATGTTGTAATGATCTTCCTCCTCGTGCGCACAAATTAGAAAATACTAAGTTCATTGTCACCCCCTTACGTAGACAAATGGAAGTAGATCTCCCTATGACCACGTGACCTACCAGCATTGAGCGGTCACGAGTTTATGTCTGTTACCCGCATCCTAAAAGTCTGTCGGCGCGCGACGCTATGTGAAGCACCAGATATTATAGACCTATTTTTTAAAATATAACTTAAAATTTTATAGCATTCGTGAATAGAAAGTTAGTCCACTAAGTATGGCATAAGCAAATTGTCCAAAAAATAAGACAAAAATGAATTCTTCACAAATAAAGTACTTATAATATTAATATTCTAATCATTTACAGGATACAGTCTAATCAGTCAGTCTAAACCTAATATAAAGTAACTTAGTGGGTCTAAAACATATTAGGATTAGGCCCTTTAGCCTATTAATTATTTTTAACTTAAACTATGGTCTGTTTCCCACATCTTAATAATCTATCTGCGCGCGCTTAGTGAAGTTCCTAATATTACAGATATATCTTTATTTTTTGTAAATATAACTTACATGTTTATAACATTCGTTAATAAAAGGTAGGTCTACAAAGTATGGGCCTAAGCAAGCTGTCCTAACTCTAAGACTAAAATGAGTACTTCATTTAGTACCATTTAAACTATTAATATTCTAATCATATACCGTCTAATCAGTCAGTCTTATGTTAAATCTAATATATAAAGGAACCTAGACCCAGTCTAGGCCTGAAACATATTAGTCTCAGGCCCTATAGTCTATTAGTTATCATTGAATTAAATTATTAAATGAGGTATAGCTTGAATTTAGGATTAATTACGTTTATTAGAGTTATTCTCATTTATTAACGCACATCATGCACATAAAGAACAACCACTAGGCCGTCGACATAACCGGGTTCTACTGTACTGATTTTTATGAGTTTAAATTGCTAATGACCAATGATGCCATTCGGGTTGGCTATACTGCAGGAGAATGTTACATTTCAGTCTAAACAGTTCCATGAGAGTTTTAGCGCCAGCCAAGCTACCAGTGACATACACGTTTTTAAACATCAGTCAAGTTACCAGTGACATGCGATTATTTAACACAAGTCAAGTTGCCTGTGACATGTGATTATTTAGCATCAGTCAAGTTACCGGTGACATGTGATTATTTAGCATCAGTCAAGTTGCCGGTGACATGTGATTATTTAGCACCAGTCACGTTGCCGGTGACATGTGATTATTTAGCACCAGTCACGTTGCCGGTGACATGCGATTATTTAGCATCAGTCAAGTTACCGGTGACATGCGATTATTTAGCATCAGTCAAGTTACCGGTGACATGTGATTATTTAGCATCAGTCATGTTACCGGTGACATGCGATTATTTAGCATCAGTCAAGTTGCCGGTGACATGCGATTATTTAGCATCAGTCAAGTTACCGGTGACATGTGATTATTTAGCATCAGTCATGTTACCGGTGACATGCGATTATTTAGCATCAGTCAAGTTGCCGGTAACATGCGATTATTTAGCATCAGTCAAGTTACCGGTGACATGTGATTATTTAGCAGTAGTCACGTTACCGGTGACATGCGATTATTTAGCATCAGTCAAGTTACCGGGGACATGCGATTATTTAGCATCAGTCAAGTTGCCGGTGGCAAGTGATTATTTAGCATCAGTCAAGCTACCCTTGACAGAGTTTTTTCGCGCAGTCAAGCAACCAATGACATATGAGTTTTTAGTGTCTCATAAATCAAAAATTACCACAGGCATCATAAGGATTTTTGACATTACCGAAATGTGTGTATGCATAATAGCGTTCTTTTAATATTACCAAAAGAAACATAGACAATAAAGTTGTACTTTGACATTACCAAAAGTACCATAGGCTGTACAGTGTTACTTTGACATTACCAGAGGTACCATAGGCGTTACTCTGCTACAGTGGAACCCGGTTATGTCGATTGCCTAGTGTTTTGTCACAAAGCGTTGAGATAATCAATTATCGCGATAAACGAAAATCAAAATGGCGGCAATGTATTAACAAAATGTACTAGGGCGCATGTGGGTCAGGCATTCCAAGTTAAGTGACTATGGTACTTTTGATGTGGGTCATGCCTTCCAAGTTAAGTGACTATGGTACTTCAGGGGATGGCTAAAAAAACTGTGATTTCATGGTTTTTCTACTTAGGTAACACTGATACTCCTATGTCACAGGTGCCTTGCATGATGTCAAATGTCACAGGTACCTTGCCTAATGTCAAATGTCACAGGAACCTTGCCTCATGTCAAATGTCACATGTGCTTTGCCTCATGTCAAATGCCACTGGTACCTTTCCTCAGATCAAATGTTACAAGCCCCTTGCCTCGTATTAAATGTCACAGGTTTCTGGCCATGTTTTAAATGTCACATGGACCATGCTTCATATGAAATGTCTCAGGTACCTTGTTTCACGTCAAATTTTAACAGGTGCTTGCCTCCTGTCAAATGTCACATGTACCTTGCCTGATGTCAAATGTAACTGGTACCTTGCCTCACATCAAATGTCACATGTGCCTCGCCTCCTGTCAAACGTCACATGTGCGTTACCTCCTATCAAATGTCACATGTGCCTTTCCTCATGTCAATCATCAAACGTAAATCGTAACTTTCCTCGTACCTACTTGCTGATGTCAAAAATTGATTTAACATCCCACGACTAAATTGGTTTGATGTCAATGTAAGTCTATCAATGCATTGCTCTTACCTTGCTTGGCTTTCGAAGCGCTGGCCTTACTACTCCGGCGCTTTGAAAGCACGACAAAGACCAGCACTGCCAGAATGACGAGACCCACGGCGGCGGCCAAGACGATCTTCACTGTGTCGCTTCCGAAAAGCTCTTGGAGGAAATCTTTTTTTTGCTCCGAGTTCGTGACGTCTCGAAAATTCTGATAAAACATATCAATATTTTATTCATTTATTTATGTATTTATTATTTATTTTTTTAAGAGGGGGGGGAGGCTACGCCCGCCCCAGAGTGGAGACGGTAGGGCAACTGGCTCCCGGGACGAGCCAATAACTTTGCTGACGCACTACCTTTTACGATAAAAAAATCTACCGATGACCGAAAATGACCGAAACTGTAAGAAATGTATCATCATGGAGGGACGACACACACAGACACCCCATCCGTGCACAACTCCCTCCTACACCACTGCTGCTCCACTATTCCTACAAAATATCATCATAATCAGTGTTTCTTTCAGATCATAATGTTTGAGATTTGAGCTGAGCGAATTCGGATGACGCCATAGGGCTAAACACGCTCACAGGTTGCATTATACAAACGTTATCAACCGTGAGAGAAAATAAAAAAATAAAATAAAAGTATATCCTTTTGTATTGACCTGATCATTTGCGCTGTACGTGTTCATCTTCAGCATATGTATAAACATCCTGATTTGAAAATCATTTTTTTTTAAATTGATAATAGACCAGTGGTTCTCAACCTGTAGAACGCGAAGCCTTTGGGGCTCGAACGACCCTTACACGCATCAAACGCAATTGCGGTATTTTTAAGAATTCAAATTTCTGTTTTGCGCAATCTATCGGGAATTTTATGTATTGAAATCATTGCCATCAGGTAGCGGTATGGAAATTGTTAGAGAGAGAAGTATCTGTTTTGAGATTGGGGAACAAATGGATCCCCATATCTTTTGGTTCTCACTTTAAGGGCAAGAGTAACATTGACGGGTGTGCCCTCACTTAGGTGATCGACAAGGTCGAATAATTTGTAATGCCTACACGATCGCAAAAATTATCCCAATCGATGTGGCAAACCCCTACGCGATCAGTGACGAGAACACGTGAGGGAAGTACTCACAGAATCCTGTCTGATGGTGGTAGTGATGCCCTCGAAATCACTTCTCCGGGTGGTCACGGTGACGATCACATCGGGCTCGCTGATCGCATATGTCGTGTTTGCTGTTGACCTATTGGCTGCCACCTTGGAATAACCGGAAATTAAACGCTTTATTTAAAAGTTTGATGGCGGTTTTCAGCTGGTGACCAATGTTACGGTCCAACATACAGCCGTTGTTGGACGGACACGCTCCAAACTTAAATCATTTGACATGGGTTTTATAACTTTAAATTCTGTTAAATATTTTTCTTTTAAATTTATGCATCATTATTTAGATGGAAAGTACTATATAACTAAACATTCAGTGAGATTTGTCATTAGCATATGAGTAAAAAGAGTGTGTGAATGGATTGATAGGTAGTTTGATGGATGCGTGGATGTTTAAAAGGATTATGGATGCGTGGATAAATGGATGGATGAATGGATGTATGAATGGACGGAACGGTGGATGGATGGATGGATTAATGAATGGGTGGATGATTGACTGGATGGGTGGATATGTGGATCGATGGATACGGGGTTGGATTGATTGGCTGATGATTGGATGGATGTGTGAATGGATGTGTAGATAGAAGGCTGGTGGCTGGAAGGATGTTGTGGATGGATGAACTGCGTAGAATGGTATGACCGAAAGCACGTACAACTTACAAAATCTGGTTCTGGGGTACCAATGAGACCATCATTACCATACAATCGGGTGGTGTTATCAAATATGAGCGCTGTGGTCATATTCAGCGTTACGTTGAACAATCCACCTGGTTCTTCCGCATCTGCGGTACCATTGGTAAACGTCTAGTAGATCCGGATTTAAGTTCCAAGGTTAACGGTATCAGGACGGGTGGTGAGATCAGGGAAGTTAGTCAAAAAAAAAACTAATTAAAAAAATTATTCAAGCTTTATTTAACATCAAAAGTAATTAGCTACATGCTTGACCAAATCTCTTTGTTTCGAGCTAAATGTAAGATAAAAAGTCTGTAAGCATGAAACCGTGACATCCTTTGAGTGCTGGTGGTCGAGTGGTCTAAACTTAGTCAATCTTAAATTCTAGTCTAGAGTTCAATCCCCACCATACATAGCCCAGTCAAGCAAACACATTAGCATCAACCTGGTTTGAAGGGGGCTCGTTAACCTTAGGTGGCGACTCAAACAAATGGAAAGTCTGCTTTCAAAGCCGGAGATGGAATCCCATAGGCGTATACCATTGACACTATGAAACATTCCGACAACCCCTGAGACCCCACAGGTGACGGGCTCATGCATCCACATATGAAGCTCCATTGGGTTACCTAGCAGCGTGGAGAGAGGCGATTTGCTGTGTAGGGAACTATGTTAAAAAAAGAATAATACCAAGCCTTTTGGATTTCGCACTGCAAAATCTACCCCATCGTCACATTGCGACTGCTGGGTGCCAGAAAAAAAAAATCCGTTACTTTATAAACCTCTTACATAAGAGAACAAAAATGGGCTTTTTTGTATGAGAATAACAAGACTAAAACAACGAGGTGTGAACAGCTTGGGATTGACAGTAAAAGTAAACAGGATTAATGGAAATAGAAAACAACATTATTTTTTCCACTTTTTAACTGGTGGATTCATTAAGCATACAATAGCCTCTAATCCATTTATAAATGGTGGATATTCCATACACAAAACAATCTAATCCGTAATTTTAATATGCATAATAATGCCTCCAACCCGTTTTAAATTCATGGATATGTTTTACACACAAACCCTCAAATCCATAATATCAACTGATGGATATAAATTACCACTTTTCTTATCCTATTTAAGATTTAGATACGCCTAAGACTGACCATGCGTCATAATGTTTGACTAAGACTATTCAGCACGGTACATCCTTTAATCTGTAAGTAAGACATTTTACACGCAACTCACCCCATTGGGAGCGGTTTCTCCTATTGGCATGGTAGTGATGATTATTGACTTCCTCCTCAACTTAATCGAGAAAGTCAATAAATTATTGATTAAAAAACGTAAATACTATGACGCTATATGTTTTCGACAAGTAACGCACTAAGCTATGAAAAATCGTCATAATTTAATTTAATTGTTGATGATTTGTAGTAGGGATTTCAAATGTTTGAACTTTCCAATAAAAAATTAATTTAGATTTGGCTATGTGTTAGATTCCATCTTGACTAGGTATATGCGTGTCAAAATCTATGTTTAATTTATGAAAATGAATCAAAGAGAATATAAATTTATTTTGACTATTTGAATTTTCACGCAATCATGATTCAGTTATTTAATATTGGGATGTCTTTAGACAATGTTTCTCAACCTATGGTATTCCCATCCCCAGAGGGAAAAGAAAGACATGTCAGGGGTTGTTATGAGGTATTTCAGGGTGTGCGAAAAGATATTTCAAGGAGTGTTAGAAAACATTTCAAGGGGTGTGAGAAAAAGAGATTTAAAAATAGAGCAGATAATAGCTTAAAAATTGTGAAATAAATTTTCAAAAAAAAAAATATTAGGCTATTTTGGTGAGATAGCACCATGACGTCGTTTGCTTGTTTTGTCCCTGGTTATAATAGGGTCTAAACCCTGGTTCCATTAGGGTCAAACCTAAGGTTAGGGATAAATTAAGAGTTCAAGTTAGGTTTAAGGATACATTTCACCGTGCTAAAACAATTCTGAGAGAGTTGCATTGGCTGCCGGTCCGCGCTCGCATAGAGTACAAAGTTGCAACTCTGTGCTACCGCTGCTTGCATGACCTAGCGCCGTCCTATCTTAAAGGGCTCATAACGACTTATGTACCCACTAGATAGCTCCGCTGTTCCGATACTGGTAAACTCTCGATGCCACATGTTTACCTTGAGACTTAAGGAAGGCGCACTTTAGCATTTGCCGGCCCAAAAATTTGGAACACACTTTCTGTCGCTCGAAGAAACAGCCAGACACTGAAATCTTTCAAAACAGAAAAAAGAAAACACTTCTATTTCGCAAACACCTGCTAGTTTGATGTTGTCTGACGTCTTTTCCAGCTAGCTATTGTCTCCTGGCTGCATATTGGCCTGTCTGTTTATGGTTGCAAGGGATGAGAGACTTAAGATGGGTATTCTCGTATGGAGTTTTTGTAATGTTACGTTTTGTATTTCAATGTGGTAAAATATAGTTCTTTTCTTTTCACTTTTAATGTGGTTGACTTTGTACCACGCTTCGAGCCTTTAGGGATGAGACGGGATTTTTAAATAAATTGTATTATTACTATTATTATTATTACATTTAGTACATAAGTTCGTAGGTCGCAGCCACCAAGACGGCGGCCACGGTGCTATCTCTCCAAATTTACATCTTCTTCATTAGCATTTTATCTCTTGTAATAAGTAGTCACAAGTTCTTTTGATGTAATTAATAAGCACAAGTTCATTTTATGTAATAAGTAATCAAACGTTCATATCCAAAGCTGTGCAGTTAATTTTTCATTCAATAAACAAACGTATTTTCAAACTTTATAGTTTCTCTTCTATTTCTAAGGGTTGCGGGATGTAGCAAAACACTTTTTAGGGGGTGTGGGGCCTTAGTAGCGAGTTGGTACGGGGTGCAGGGAATTCAGGACCAGTGCAATAATCCAAGAGGGAGTGTCAAGTACAGAAGAACGTTTGTAACATTGGCCTTGAGCTCAGAGTTTGTTGAGCTTCACTTTAAGGGAGGCGTCTCACAGCATAATACTATTCATTATTAATTTGTACCTTAATTTGATTTACTTATAATCAAGTCATCTCCTGAAAAAAATGTCATTTTGTAAAAAGAAATGCCTCAGTAATGGCTACCTGCTTCGAAATCGTTTAGCACAGATGTTGGCTTGGTGATGAAATTGGTGCAATAATTGGTTCACATCGCGATCTGGGTTAGGAAAAAAATGCTGTTTTTGTCTTTAGCCTTTACCGATAATCTCCAAGGAAAGCTTCCATTTAAAAATTTCAGACTGTTACTATGCACTAAGTGCAGAGATGCGCCGAAAATGTGTGTCCATCAGAAGTTCCGATTTCTTGAAAGCGCAAAACATCATGCGCTGCATTAGTTGTTAGTGCTTTAGTTTCATTGTAGTTTGGATTCATTTTTTTTAATTTATTTTTTTTTTTTTAATGTTAATCTAAAAATGATAATTAATCTTTACTATGTTTGTTCAATCTATGAATGGTTTCACTATTTCTATGTGTAGTGTTTTTTTAAATTTTATTCCCCATAGTTATATAATTAAATAATATCAAAGAAAATTAGATTTAGTCAGATTAGTTCTAACTTATAAAGAAAGTCGGTTTAATTGTATTTAAAAAATATGACATCCAAATGACTATCAATTAGCTATGGGTGTAGAAAATAGTGTACATATACATTTTTGTGGTTTACTGTATGCACAGAAAGAACTCATACGAAGTTCGCTCTTTTGAAGCTATGTTGTCAAAATTATGGAACAGTTTGCCTCAACCTTTGATGGAAAATGACAATGATAAAAATGTCACTTAAGAAACATTTGCAGACTTTTTTCTTTAAAAAGATTATGGGACATCAGAGCGCTGTGAGCATGCTAAAATAGCATGAACAAAAGGGCTATACATGTATTTAATCCTAATCAATTATCATATATATATTTAGTCTTAATATGTTACTATACGCTACCTAATGACTTATATGGATACTAGTTATCTCACTTTTGCCAAATGCGCGTCTGTATATATATATATATATATATATATATATATATATATATATATGTTCCTGAGTCCGCAAAGACTCCATACATCATGAAGCCAACATAACCGCGGCTGCAGAGCTTTAAGACTTGCCAGAAAAGAATGGGTTAACTCTGCACCTGGCAATGACCCATCAATGCGTTCTTTGCGTGGAGCACAAGTAAATTGACCAGGCTCAGCATTACGTCCGCTGCAAAAACACAGAGCTTTATGTCATGGAAACAAACTTATTTTTAAATAAATGACCTGCCTACGTTATGATAAAGTTGTGGCTAGTTAGGAATGGGCAACAACGCACATGAACATTGGGCGAAAACAAAGGATTATGAGTTGTTTTTTAACCAGATGATGTCTGACTAGACAACTCGTGTTTCCACAACCTGCAAGCGATAAAACAGAACTGGTTGGCTTCTTTTTTTTTTCTTTTAAGACTATGCTCTATATGAATGGTTTTAGTTTCTATAGTTTATAGTGCGTGCTCGCATAGAGTACAAAATCGCAACTTTGTGCTACCGCTGCTTACATGACCTGGCGCCGTCCTATCTGAAAGAGCTGCTGACGCCTTATGTACCCACTAGAGAGCTCCGCTCATCCGATAGTGGCAAACTCTCGACACCACGTGTTTGCCTTGAGACTTACGGAACGCCCTTCCTGTCGATCTTAGAAACAACCAGACACTGGAGTCCTTTAAAACAGATCTAAAGACACATCTATTTCGCAAATACCTTCTGGGATGATTGTCTACCTTATTTTCCATGTGTTGCTGTGTTGCTCCGGGTTGAAATGGCTAGAACGACTTTGATATTGTATGCTTGTAATTAGTTTTAGTAGTGTTGTGTTTGTTTTAAATGTGGTGAATTATAGATATGTTTTTTGTTGACTTTGTACCGTGCTTCGAGCCTTTGGGGATGAAGCGTGTTTTTTTAAATGAACTTTATTATTATTATTATTATATACAAATGAGAAAGGTGTCTTGATACTATTTGAAGTGTAACAGTGAAGAAAACAATGACAAGAGCATAGGTCAATGCGTCTTTTGTGTTCTCCAACAACTTCCCAATGGCCTCACACTTGGTTACAGGTTCACTCAATTAGAGGGGACTACAATTTCATGAAGACCACGAATTGTATGAGGACCACACTTTTATGGGAACCACACACTTATGGGGACATCACTTTCATGGGGATAACAATCTCATGTATGCAATGCTTTCATCGGGACCACAATTTTATGAGGACCACACTTTTATGATGACCACAATTTTATGATGACCACACTTTTATGATGACCACACTTTTATGATGACCACACTTTTATGATGACCACACTTTTATGAGGACCACACTTTTATGGGAACCACACACTTATGGGGACATCACTTTCATGGGGATAACAATCTCATGTATGCAATGCTTTCATCGGGACTACAATTTCATGAGGACCACACTTTTATGATGACAACAATTTTTTGATGACCACACTTTTATGATGACCACACTTTTATGATGACCACACTTTTATGATGACCACACTTTTATGAGGACCACACTTTTATGGGAACCACACACTTATGGGGACATCACTTTCATGTGCATAACAATCTCATGTATGCAATGCTTTCATCAGGACCGCAATTTCATGAGGACCACACTTTTATGATGACAACAATTTTTTTTTTAAAGGAACGCAAATTCATTGTTTAAATATCTTGAAAAAATCCGTCAGTTTTAAAGCTTCATATCATTCCACGATAGACCGCTTGGGACGACACATTCATCAAGTCAAATGATTTCCGTTAGCTCTACACATTCATCAAGTCAAATGATTTCCGTTAGCTCTACACATTCATCAAGTCAAATGATTTCCGTTAGCTCTACACTCTCATAAAGTCAAATGATTTCCGTTAGCTCTACACTCTCATAAAGTCAAATGATTTCCGTTAGTTTAACACTTTCATAAAGTCAAATGATTTCCGTGAGCTCTACACATTCATCAAGTCAAATGATTTCCGTTAGCTCTACACTTTCATAAAGTCAAATGATTTCCGTTAGCTCTACACATTCATCAAGTCAAATGATTTCCGTTAACTGTACATTCTCATAAAGTCAAATGATTTCCGTCAGCTCTACACATTCATAAAGTCAGTTGATTTCCGTTAGCTCTACACTCTCATAACGTCAAATGATTTCCGTTAGCTCTACACTTTCATAAAGTCAAATGATTTCCATTAGCTCTACACTTTCATAAAGTCAAATGATTTCCGTCAGCTCTACACTTTCATAAAGTCAAATGATTTCCGTTAGCTCTACACTTTCATAAAGTCAAATGATTTCCGTTAGCTCTACCCTTTCATAGAGTCAAATGATTTCCGTTAGCTCTACACTTTCATAAAGTCAAATGATTTCCGTTAATTCTACGTTTTCATAGAGTCAAATGATTTCCGTTAGCTCTACACTTTCATAAAGTCAAATGATTTCCGTTAGCTCTACACTTTCATGAAGTCAAATGATTTCCGTTATTTCTACACTTTCATAAAGTCAAATGATTTCTGTCAGCTCTACACTTTCAGAGAGTCGTATTCTTCAGTAGCCATACGCTTTTACGCTGGCCCAAAAGATCAGCTTTTACGACACTTTCAGACACAACGTCACTTCCAAAGTTTGCTGTGACTTCAGGTAGCTCCTGGCTTTCAGATTGGCCCATAATTTTTGACTGGGACTCTCAAACTGCAGTTGAACTTTTATGCACAGGAAACAACAGTGTGAACACCGCTTGTCTCACAGACTTGTTAAAACAGAAGAAAATGGGATTCAGGGCCGAATTGACGTAGCCCATCCATGTGAAGAGCAAAATGATCCACAGTGGTAGCGAGTAGCCAGTATAGATGGCTACCACATTAAATATACTGAAGGGCAGCCAGCAGACAGTAAACCCCAGCACAATGATTCCAATGGTTCTGTAGGCTTTAGTCCTTGACCTATGTGGTTTAACATTGCTCTCTGACGATGCGTGCGCGTTTGTGTGTATCTCTGCAACCACATCGTGTAGGTACAAGTCGGTAGCATCTTCTGGTCCAGGCTGTAATCGGCTCATGTCTACCACAGAAAAGACTTCTGTGGTTTCTAAAGCTAACGAAAATGTGTTCTCGTCTGCTGCATTTGGTAAGTCGGTTTTGATAAGTGTTGAGAAAATGTCTGTCACTGGTGAATAAGTGCTTGACATTGGTGAGCTTGTTTCGATTACGAGCGATTCAGTGTTGATGATATTCGGGCCAGCGGTATTGTGGTTTGAAGTTTCTTCTGAACGTTGTCTGTCAGAATCGGTCTCCTGATGAAGATGTCTGAGCCGGGTAAAACATTTCCATGATCTAAGGGACACGGCCGGCGCGAGGGTGGAAAGTCGACGCCTAATATTTTTGGTAACGGAAGTTCCAGGCAACACCTGGATCTTTCTGAGCACCAGAAAATATACCACAAAGATGACCGTGAAAGGGATGTAGAAATCCGTGGTGGAAATGATGAGAAGGAATGGCGTGTTGTACACCGCTTGACAGGATTCACTTTGTCTGATGCACTCGACCAGAACCTCGACTCCTGAGTGGTGCCATCCGCTGACCACCGTGAGGACGGTCATCGTTACCGGGACGGTCCAGCAAACTGCGATCAGACAGTAGACCGTCCTCTTGGGCATAAACCTGTACCTAAGGGGGTGGCACACGGCCGTGTACCTGTCCCCGGACAAGCAGACCACGTGATAGATGGACACCGTGCAGAGAATCTTATCCAGCCAGATCCAAACTTGGCACAGGTCGTCTCCGAGCCCCCACTTCCCGTTCGTCGCGATGACGTAAATGCCGAGGGGCATGCTGACCAGGCCGATGACGGCGTCGGTGACCGCCATGGAGGCCATCAGGAGCTGGGTCAAACTACTGCTGGAGTGGGACGTATGGAGTACGGTGTTGTACTGATTTGCCCCGTGTCGGGCGATGGCCGCGATGATGGTCACGTTGGCTGACACGACGTATGCTGCAACGAGTGACGTGACCACAGCCATGGGAATAAGCGCATTCGTGTGATCGGTGATGGTCAGGTGATGGACCAGCGTCGAACATTCAGTGTTGTTTTGGCTTGAATTCATGATTTACTTGGGGTGATTCTTAGATAACAGTAAATTAAAAACAACATCTGTATCATCTCCTTTACATTAGTATGTAAGTGGGTCCGCCATTAGTATGTAAGTGGGTCCGCCATTAGTATGTAAGTGGGTCCGCCATTAGTATGTAAGTGGGTCCGCCATTAGTATGTAAGTGGGTCCGCTGTCTCCTAAAATATGATGAATATATGAAGCACAGAGTTAATGCTTACCCAGACTTACGTGTAATCAATATTTATTCAAATCTATTGTAAACACAATGGCTCAAAACTGAAGATATTTTTTTTTTTACTTTCTTAAAAGTGCTAACACTAATACCCATGGTATGAAGAGACAGGAATTATTTTAATTTTAATGTATACTCAACTTTTTAAAGCTAACTATCTTGAGTAAACACTACCCTATAGACATAAACAGTTCACTTGAAACTGTATTTGTTTATATTTCAATTTAAACTCAACCTTTTCAAACTTACTATCCTGGGTAAACACTACTCCCTATACAGAAATCGTTCACTTAAAACTGTATTAGTTTGTAATTCAATGTAAACACCACTTTTTTAAAACTAACTCTCCTGGGGAAACACTACTCTATAAACAGAAACCGTTCATTTAACACTTTAATAATCTACACACACAAAAGAGTATTTTGAGGACTTTTCACTCTATGCGACAATAATAGCTATTTATAAACTCCATCCTATTGTGTACGGAATCTAACGTCACGCGTGCTTTGAGGACCATGGCCATGAACGTGCGCACATTTGTACACGACAAAACACGTGTACGTGCATAACTGTTCACCAGGGCAAACAAGCGCTCGCTACCTACGGGTTGATACACTCAGTGGCGTATGGGGCTGGAAGAGGTGGGGGGGGGGAGGGTTGTAGGGACGGACTGACCCTGGCAAAACTATTTTTTCTTAATGTGGAACGGGGACATGTTTGGTCAATGCAGAGTTTTTTTTTTTTTTTCTCTTTAGCTGTGGGAGGGGAGGGGGCGGACAAAATAGTTTTCGCCCCATTTATGTACAAAGTTTTTTTTTTTTTTTTTAATTAAAAAAAAGACTGACCCTGGCAAAACTATTTTTTCTTAATGTGGAACGGGGACATGTTTGGTCAATGCAGAGTTTTTTTTTTTTCTCTTTAGCTGTGGAAGTGGAGGGGGCGGACAAAATAGTTTTCGCCCCATTTATGTACAAAGTTTTTTTGTTTTTTTTTAATTAAAAAAAAGAAAGCCACTTTCCAATGATATACATACTTTTGGCGTAATTCTTATTTACGGTAAAAATGTAAAAATATAGGAAAGCTCTTCGTGCAAAACCCTAGCGACGCCACTGCTTGCGCTCATTGATTCGCCCTGGTGCAGCTTGCATGATGGATGAGATGATTGAGTGCGCCAGCTCTCCCTCTGCTGGGGAATAGCGTCACTCGTTTCCCTATTTTATCGTTTGGCTGTGCCCTCGGAAATGACTATCCTTGGGTGTCGTTATCGTTGTTTATTGTTTGGCTGTGCCCTCGGAAATGACAATCCTTTCGTGTCGTTATCGTTGTTTATTGTTTGGCTGTGCCCTCGGAATGACAATCCTTGCGTGTCGTTATCGTTGTTTATTGTTTGGCTGTGCCCTCGGAATGACAATCCTTGCGTGTCGTTATCGTTGTTTATTGTTTGGCTGTGCCCTCGGAATGACAATCCTTGTGTGTCGTTATCGTTGTTTATTGTTTGGCTGTGCCCTCGGAATGACAATCCTTGTGTGTCGTTATCGTTGTTTATTGTTTGGCTGTGCCCTCGGAATGACAATCCTTGTGTGTCGTTATTGTTGTTTATTTTTGGCTGTGCCCTCGGAATGACAATCCTTGTGTGTCGTTATCGTTGTTTATTTTTGGCGGTGCCCTCGGAATGACAATCCGTGTGTGTAGTTATTGTTGTTTATTTTTGGCTGTGCCTTCGGAATGACTTCTCTTGTCTTGTGTAGGTTTTTTGTTTGTGTGTGTGTGGGGAGTTTTGTTGTTGTTTTTTTTTAACAAACGCTCCCTCGTTTACTTGTGCGATGTCAAATTTCCTTAACGATCTAACGACAGTTTCTATAGACTGAATCGTCTGAATTCATTTCTAAACACACAATTTCACGACCGAATTCTTAAAGGATTTGTTTTTTTTTTAAATATTAATCAAACGTTAGTCTGCATTAAGGAAGGTCAGATCCGTTTCTAAATCAGTCATGGTTTTTTCCCACCCCACAAGAATTGAAAACTGGCGCCCCTTTTCCTTGTGCTACCATCTCTCGAAATCCCCTCCCCCCCCCCCCCCCCCCCCCCCCCTTCTCCACCCCCGATATCCATTTGAGACCCGTTATATTTCTAAAAAAATAAAATTTGTATTTACATCCTTTTTCCGCGCCTAACGTTGTGACCACCCCTTGTACCCCAGGACTTCGCTTAGTTTTGATTAACGTTAGAAACGGCACTACACACAAAGTGTTACTATTTTAGCAAAGACACTATGTATAGCTAGTGTTAAAATTCAACATCAATGTTTTTTCGTAAAAATTCTTTATGTGCACATTTTTATTACTTTAAAATTTAAAAATAAAATGTATATTCTTATTTCCCACCCTTTTTTGCATCGCAGATTTATTTCAACATTTCAGAAGAAAAAAAAAATATTATCCACCAAACGCACTTGGGTTGTATTAATTTAAGAATCTCATTTAGTGCATTTATAGGAAATTTTATTTCAATAAATGGATGTCATCGTATTTCCATAATCTTCCCCTCCCCCCAACCCTGAAAAACAGGGGGGGGGGAAGCTGATTTTGGGGGTTAGGGCCGAAAATTTGACAGAGTGTTTTGTTATTGGCAACAAGTGTATGTGTCCAGTTTCAGCGCGATAGGTTGACAGGAAGTTGGGTTAATTAGCCGTCCGAAGATTATGCAATACAACAAGAATCAAACACGGAGAATAATATATATATGTGTGTGATTTAAAAAAAAAACACTTTTGAATTTTGTTAATATATGTTTTATTGTTGTCGGTTAAGATATAAATTGCAGGAAACCAATTTGTACAAAAACCAATTTGTATTCTGTTTGAATGGAAGTGAGTTCGAATACTAATTATGCCGTACGATCATAAGCGAAATGGCATCATGGAGTCTCACATTGTTGGGCTGGGGTGTCTGATCTACTTTAACGGCGTTGTAGATCTCGTGGTCCAAAGCTATAAAAAGGTGGCCCCGGGGGGGGGGGACTTTACTTTAACAAATCTGTAAAGGACCCATATTACTTAAACTGAAATTTTGGGGAGCCTGGTCTAATCTTTAAAAAAAGTTCATCACCCTTCGAACGGCTACATCAATGGTGTTTTATATCAGTAACACCACTTGTTATGTTACAATGACATTTGTGAGTAATACCATTTTTTATGTTACAATAACGTACCTGAGTCAAACTATTTGTTATGACCTCCAGAAAAACCTAATTTATTAGCTCTTTAATTCATATAGATTAGATACATAAATAGATAGATAGATAGAAAGACCGACAGACAGACAGACAGACAGACAGGACAGGACAGGACAGGACAGGACAGGAATGGAATGGATCGATGGATGGATGGATGGTTGGATGGATGGATGGATGGATGGATGGATGGATGGATGGATGGATGGATGGATGGATGGATGGATGGATGGATAGATAGATAGAAAGATCAAAACAATTAATTTTGTGATGTATCGAATTTAAAAACAGTGTAGCTTATTAATTAGTTACTACTTGATTTTTCTATGTCATGTAGTTTGATTTGTTGTTTGGGTTGTTTTTTTTTTGCTTTTTTGCTTTAAAAAATAAAATACTTGACAATAAAAAGACTTGACATTATATATAATTGGCGATCAGTCTTCGCTACACATCGATAGTTATGATAACATGACTCCATAATTTAAATGTGACAGCTCGCTAGGAGGTCAGTCTCGCTTAAACAGTGGTTCTCAACCTTCCTAATGCCACGACTCTTTAAAACAGTTCCTTATGTTGTGTCGACCCCAAGCCACAAATTTATTTTCGTTGCTACTTCATATCTGTAGAGCATACGTGTTTTCAGATGGTCCGAGTCGACCCCTGAGGAAGGATCCTGCGACCCCAAAAAGGGGTCCCGACCCACAGGTATGAGAGCCGTTGCGCTAGGAGGTCTGTTTTAGCGGTTACGCCTGTTTTGTCTGTACACGTCCAAAACGCCACCGCTGGTGTGTTTTCCTCCACACACCCAAGGTGAGATATTGCTCGCATGATCCATAGATTCTCGCGCCTTCTCTCGTACAATGGATACCCCGAGTGTAGGAATCTTTGTTGAGCTGGACTGAATAATCAGTTCGTGGTTTTTGTTAATGTTCTCTTGCTGGGTAAATGTCAGACATTGTTTTGTCAAAGAGTTATTACGACATTGTTTTTTTTTTCCCTCGTTAGAATGATAAGGTAGTGTGATAATGGATCGTTTGAAGTGAGTGCTAGGCAATCAATCAAAAACATGGGGTCTTTTTTGCATGTTTTTGGGTTGTTGTTGTTGTTTTTTTTTTGGTGTATGGTAACGTAATACATATGTATATATTTATTAACAATGTTAACATTATTATGTGGGGATTCTGAAATGTCTTAGGTTAACATCGAATCTGTCATCAACTCTCTCTAGGTCGAAATGTCGCCCAGGGGGGGGTCTCAGACATTTTAGGTTATCTGAACGGTTATTACTGGTATGTTTTATTAATATCTTAATGAT